CTCAACTTAAACTTAGTTTAGCCATTTTTTGCACTTAAGTCAAAAGTTAGCCTGCCTATTACACAGCTTATTCTTGACTAAATCTAAAAAATTGGAGTTGGAGAAACCTTAGAAAACCTTAGGTCTTTATTCATTTAAAATGCTTTTAATTATGTCATTCAAATATGTGTATGTGTGTGTATGCAATTAATAAATATCTACCTACTTAATTTCACATTTTCCCACAGATTTTCTACGCATTTGGATTTGATGGACTCAACGGTTTTTTGCATTCGTCACCAGTATACGAAATGAAGCTTTCCATTCTGAAAGCTTTAAAGTTCTTTGAGAATCGTGGTTGTATAATCGAAAAAGCTTCAATGAAAGCTTTCAAACACTCAGTTGAAGTGACGTTTAGTTGTGTTGCACTTCTGCAAGACTTCCCTTATTTAATAAACAGTTCAAATCCAAATAAAGTACGAGAACATTTGATTGAATTTGCAAAAGCTCTTTTCGGTAAGTCAGAGTATACCAAAGAAGCGATATACTTCGATATCTTGCGACGAACCCATGCCTTCATGAAGAAAGAGAGTTTACACAAATACAAAGCTGAAGTCGACACATTGAAAACTGAATTAGCTGTAAGTTATTTAGCAATCTCAGTTTAGGTTTATTGCCAATAATAAATATTTTTTTTTTTTTCAGCAAATGTTAGGCCCTAATGGCGTTCTCTTCTTTCCCACTTTCCACGTGCCTGCTTTGCATCATAACACCTCCACTTTGGCGTTATGGAGTATAGATTATACTATGATCTTTAATATCCTCGGTTTCCCAGCCACTCACATTCCTATGGGCCATGATGGTAATGGCTTGCCTGTTGGCTTTCAAGTTGTCGCTGCACCGTACAAAGATAAGCTAGGCATTCAAATAGCTGGCGAATTGGAGTCAGCATTCGGTGGTTGGGTTATACCTACGCCACATGATCTCCAGCCTTTAGAAAGGAGTTGATAAATGAGTAGTTGATGATTTTTAGTTATTTACATACATATAGTATGTATATAGTTAAAAAAAGAATAAGCATCTTTATAAAGTTTGTACACTTTTGTATACTAATAAAGTACTTAAAAAAAGAAACTTATCTAATATGTAATTTCAATTATATATCTTCATTCATAAATATTTGAGGTATGTTGAATTATCGAATAAATTATGAGAGTGAAAAATTCATAAGCAAAAGGCGCGGAATTATCCAGCCTTTTCGCATGACCAAGTCCCGCCTTTCCAAGAGAATTGCTTACCATTACCACTAATATTGCCATTACTGTTGCCGTGACAAATACGATAACCACCCACATTATTACCATTACGCACAACATTATACTTAACTACTATAAAAGAAATTCTACTGTTCCGGTTTCCGCGGTTAATTGATTGTTACACAATCCTTCCGTGTACGAGTATTTCACTAAATTTTATAAAACTCTAGGAATATTCTCATATCCTGAAAAGAGACAACCAAAGGGTAAAAAATAAAAATCTACCAGACTAAATTAGATATTCTTAATAGAAAGCTATATTTTTTGCCTTTCAAATACTGAATTTGTATATTCTTATTCTGGTTTTTATTCTCGGCTGTAACTGCCTAAACGATTTTGCCCAAGTCCAAAACAGCACACCAGTCGTTTCCTTCCTGTAACAAATGACGGCAATTGAAAATGCCAATTGAAGCCAAGTCCTTCTTCACTTTGTCTTTCCATCGCAGTGGGGGCTGCATATTCCTTGAATACTTCCCTCCATAATCTTAGTACTTTGCGAACATAGGTCACTAGGTCGCCTTGGTCGTTCTTACAGGAGTTTGCTCCGGTCTTGGAACCCTCCCTAAATCGCCTAACTCTCTGATATAATTTTCGGGCACTTTTCCGAATGAGTCGGAGTGGTACGAGTCATGCTCCCTCCCTTTCTACCGTTACCCAAGGCTACACTCTGATTGCTCACGTTGCCCAGAGTGCGCGAACGAGGACGCAACAGTCAGGTTTGTGTATAGACGTGGAACTGTAACTGCAACCCAGAAANAATTTTGCCCAAGTCCAAAACAGCACACGAGTCGTTTCCTTCCTGTAACAAATGACGGCAATTGAAAATGCCAATTGAAGCCAAGTCGTTCTTCACTTTGTCTTTCCATCGCAGTGGGGGCTGCATATTCCTTGAATACTTCCCTCCATAATCTTAGTACATCGGTCACTAGGTCGCCTTGGTCGTTCTTACAGGAGTTTGCTCCGGTCTTGGAACCCTCCGTAAATCGCCTAACTCTCTGATATAATTTTCGGGCACTTTTCCGAATGAGTCGGAGTGGTACCAGTCATGCTCCCTCCCTTTCTACCGTTACCCAAGGCTACACTCTGATTGCTCACGTTGCCCAGAGTGCGCGAACGAGGACGCAACAGTCAGGTTTGTGTATAGACGTGGAACTGTAACTGCAACCCAGAAAGAGGACTATGCTTCAATGCACTTACTAGGGAAGAGATATACACCTTTTAAACAGAGCTGGAGTCAAAATCACTGCATATTTATGTGGCTGCCCACTTCTGCTCTCCGCAGATGCAAAGCAAAACAAAAGGTAGGACAAGTCATACATTGGCCAATTATAGTTCGGAAATAATAATATTTCACAATAATATAATAATATAATATAATAATATATAATATAATATAATAATGATATTTCATGAGAAGAACGCATTGAACACTTTAGTTGGGTCCCCCTGCATTTAGGGTGAATAACTGCCTTAACTAAGTACATAGATTCACAAGAGAGATAGGTAAGAGTGCCAGCTCTCGGCCGCCATGAGCTGGAAACATTCCCTTTT